ATTCGGGCGTGGTAGCGCATGCCTGTAATTCCGGCTACTCGGAAGGCTGAGGCGGAAGGATCGCCGGAGCCCAGCAGGTCGAGGTTGCGGTGGCCGGGAGCGGCCACTGCACTCCAGTCTGGGTGACAGAGTGAGACTCCAACTCAAAAAAAAAAAAAAAAAACCTATCTGAACTTCCTCTAATGGAGATCACAAGAGCTTAACTCCAAAGATGACCTCCTATATTCTGAGGAAAGGAACATCCTTATCCTCAAAGACATCAAGACACCAAGAAGAATCTGAACCAATAGACCTTGTTGGTTCAGACTCCCCAATTTATTACCATCCAATCACACCCTTTTGTCCTTCAATCATATTTCTTTACAACGATCCATTTCTTCAGGTTCTGTTTTCAGAGAATCTATGTGAAAACAAATGATAACTATTTTTACCTAGCAAGAGGTAACACTATAAATATTGTTCTGCATTTTTCTTTTTTTTTTTACTTAACAATATATTTTGATGATCATTCCACGTCATTTTATAGAGATGTCATTCCTCTTTACAGCTGCATATTGCTCCATTGTGTGGAGGTAGATGAATTATTTTTGATGTTTTTGGTACAAATTTTGCATTAGTTCTCATGTTATTATCTGTTGAATGATGTGATAAACTACATATTCTAGAAAGGTTATGATCAAACCATAACTCCTAGTAATTTACCTAAATGTAATAAAGACAATACAAATATTGGGGGGAAAGTGCAAACTCTCAACTAAACATAGTTGTTTGAAGTTACCCTATGTGAGAAAGGAAAAAAATATGGTGGGTGGAAAAGCTAGCCTGAAATGATCAATTACCTAACTTTTTTTTTTTTTTGAGTTGGAGTTTCACTCCGTTGCTCAGACTGGAGTGCAGTGGCCGCTCCTGGCCGCCGCAGCCTCGACCCACTGGGCTCCAGGGATCCTTCCACCTCAAGCTTCCGAGTAGCCGGAATTACAGGCGCGTTACCATGCCTGGCTCATTTTTGATTTATTGTAGAGATGAGGTCTCGCCAAGTTGCCCAGGCGGGTCTCA